TATAAATTATATTTTATTACAAGTTTAACTTTTTCATTTCTATTTTATGAAGATAGTTATTTTACATTCCTAACTATACTAATAAAGTATATTTTTAGTTTGAATCATGTAACTTCTTTAATAGTGAGTTGAATAATTCATAGATAGAAACATAATTTAATGATTCCCTCTAATTTCTCTCCCTCTCCCTTTTTCATATTTTATAGTATTTCACAATTTTCTCCAAATAAAATAAAAAATTACATACAACAATTATTAAATTGAACATCAAATAAATCAAAATAAGATTGTAAATAAACGTAAAAATTTCCTTAATAATTTCTATATTGTTTTGAAAATAATAATTGCAATGTTTCAGGTTCGACACAAAATTGATTTGTTTGTTTTTTATTAATTGTTTATGAATAGGCTATCTATCTTATTTTTTGTTCAAAGTTGGTTTATTTTTTATTTTTATCATCAGATATATCATGTTAGTCAACATTGGACATAAGTTCATAGGATTTGATAATAAACATGCATTTAGATTTTAACATGTGCAATATAAATGTAAAAAATACAGAGAATATAATAACGCTAAATTTAGTTTATTGGACATGTACACAACAATTAGAAAAATATGATTTTCTAAATTAAATTTTCAGGATAAATGCATTGTCAAATCATAAATTTCCGCAAGCAATGAGCTTGCTCTAATATATTATTCGAGATTTCAGTGTCGATGGCAGTTTTTTTACGGTAATGCAAGTAGAATTTGGGTAAAGCCGAATGGAAAACGTTTTTGCAAATCTGTAGATGAGAATGAATTTAAAAGAACCGTATTTATAAGAATATGTACATTATTAAAATCTGAAAACAATAAAGAATCCCAAGAGTTGAAAACCGTGTAATTAATATTTAATTAAACATATAAATTATCGATCTACATATCATAATGATACGTTTAATTTTATAATACCATATAAGTTGGATTTGTTTCCAACCACTACATCTTATAATAAATGATATGTAGAGATTTTCACAATTAAAGAAAAAAAACGCGAAAACTGAAAAAAAGAATCCCAAAACTTGGAAACAATATAAATTTAAATTTAATTAAATGTAAAAAAAGGGTGATAAAATTCATAGTTGATTACAAAGTATGTTTAATTTTAGAATTCCATATAAACTGGATTTGTTTACAACAAACATAGGTTATGTCAAATTATAACTCTAATTTTGTTTAGATATCTAGAATATAAAACTCTTTAAAAGAGTCCCAACGGATGGAAACAATATAATTTTTAATTTTTTTTAAACATAAAAAATAGAGCTAATTAAAAAAAAATATATAATTCTGTATTTCCCTTAAAATTGGGATTCTTTACAGGATAACAAAATCGTGTTACTAACTTATATGTTAGGTAATTAGAAATAAAAATGTATCCATAAAAACACGTGCTTAAAAAATTGTAATTATAAAAAAAATTGGTTTTATGTCATGTCAAAAAGTATTAATACACGTGTTATAAAAAAAGTCAAAATATCAAATATAATTGTATTCATACGTTTTCCGAATAAAATTTTATGCAATTTTATGTAAAAAACAAATTAAGTGAATGGTAATCATTAAAGTGAATAATATTCATTATAAGAAATTGAGCCGCATTTTTTGAGAATGTTTATACCACATTAATTACTGAAAATCCCCCGCACTTTGTGGGCATTTAATAGCTGAATGTGAAAAAAAGAAAAGGGAAAAGAAGTTGCCATTAATCGTAAATAATTAATGAAGAAAGAGATTTGACCAAAAATTGACCTGCCATTTTTTAAAAATGGTAAATCTTTTTATATATATATAGATATATATCCTTGCATCGCAAATAGTTGTCGTAGTAAGAAATATACAAATAGGGATGAACATAAGTCGGTATAGTTCAAAAATTCACAAATCTCTGAAACCGTACCGAATTCAATTTATAGATTTTTATTTTTGGGTTTGGGATTTGGTAATTATCAATATCGTTCATATCGTTTCGTTCGGATCGGAGTGAGATTTTTAATAAAATTTCATACTTATTTTCAAATGATTTTCTAGTTATTTTGAATTTTCATATGCTCTTTTTTAAAAAAATAAAAAATAAAAAAATCAACTATTCACAAATGTTTAATCATATTAAATATTTTATTTTAAAATCAATATTAGAAATCTAATGGGAGTAAGACCTCTCGACCGTGATTGTTGAGATTCAAACTAGACGACTTGAGGAGTTGTGATGA